TATTGTTTACCTGGATGTCTAACCTTCATCAATGTAACTGATAAACTGCAATGTGTGACGCACCAGTTCTGTTTTGCGAAGTACAATTGCAAGCTGTGTATGACAGGACTGAATGGATTTATCCACTTGCACCAGGAAGTATCCCTACCCTTATGGATAGGTGTGATGGGTTCTTTAAGATGCTCAAGATGTGTCACAGAAAACGCACAGAACCCCCTTTTTTTGTATAGATTGTAAATCTAAAGACAAATTTAGGCAATGAAAACAATCTTTCTTCACCATCTTAAAATTTTTATGCATACTTTCCTTTTCTGTACATGAGCCACCCTCTCCATATGCATTAACCTCAGAATCAAAGATGCATTTGACATTAAAACGTCTCGATTGAAAACCATTTTTTGTCTAGACGTCTCAGTCAACCCTCTTCACAGAGACCAACTGTCCGATGTGATTGCTTTTAATTTTCTATGGTCCTTTGGGTGGTCGCCTTTAGCAGTTTTGACTGTACTTTCATAATCTACTTAATAAGTATACTGTATAACAGTACCACTGTTTTAAATTAATGCTATTATGCCACTTCAAAGGGCATCTACGTAGCCGGAGTGTCGGTCTTCTTCGTGACACGTCTACTCCAGAATCTTCGCTTCCTGCCGTCCGCTGCATTGGTCTTCCTTGCCCTTTCCGCCTTGCAGGGGTCTTCTTGCCTTCCGCTGCAGGGGTCTGCCTCGATGCCTTGTCCTTGGCATCATGGGTGGCAGCCTTTGTGGACTTCCTGCGCCGGAACAGGCGTCTCCAGAGCCCCCGGAAGCATCCGTAGCTCTTTTCTCCAGACTTGTCCTCTGGAAGCTCATCAGGGGACAAAGCTGGGCCTAGGTCCTCCATCTTTGCAGTGGGCACTGCCACTGGGCCTAGGTCCTCCATCTTTGCAGTGGGCACTGCCACTGGGCCTAGGTCCTCCATCTTTGCAGTGGGCACTGCCACGGGGCCTAGGTCCTCCTGCTTTGCAGTGGGCACTGCCACTGGGCCTAGGTCCTCCATCTTTGCAGTGGGCACTGCCACGGGGCCCAGGTCTTCCATCTTTGCAGTGGGCACTGCCGCAGGGCCTAGGTCCTCCTGCTTTACAGTTGGCAGCAAAGCAGGAATCATTTTTTCACCTTGCTCCCCAGTCCCAATGTTTGGTGATCCAGATACGATCAAGATGTTGTTCAGAGTACCGAACACATTCATGGTCGTGGGCTGTGGTGAAAGGAAAAAAAGTTGCCATTAGTTATAAGCAAAGCACTTGTGCAAAACAGCCTTTATCTTGTGCATATGTATGCATGTGGGGGCCTATGTGTGTTAGTGTTTCACTACAACATGTACTTTTCGTCAACTTTTTCTGCAACTTTCTTTTGCCTTTTCCTAGACCTTCCACGCTTATAGTATGTTATACCTTGAAAGTTATATGTTGTCCCTAAGTAAAGTTGAATATGATTTAAATTTTGCAATACAGAGCATACTGTATCTTGTTGCCTGTAATTTCTTAGAATTCAAATATTGAACGCATTAAGTTTTCCTTTTAGTAAATAATTAAATATAGTAATTGAAAATGAATTAATGAATACAAAGGAAACTACACTACAGTTTAACAAAGAATGTAACTAAATGCAAAGAATATTTTAAAAGAACAATAGTGTATTTACCATGGTGGGGTTGTGGAACCATATGCCGCTGCACGTCCGATACTTTGACTCGTATCTCCCTGGATTAAGCTCCAGGACCACCACATACTCTTCAATACTGTCACTGCAAATAAAAGCAAAGAGCATTATGTGAGAGGACGTACAATTATACATATATACCTAAACAACAAGTGAACCATCAAGTGGTGTAAATGAATAAAGGCTATTACTTTTGAAACACAAGCTGGCCTTAAAATCAAGGAGGTTTAAAATCAACCTCCTTGCTTGATGAAGTTTTGCCATGTTAACATTATGCTGCAAGTTATCTCAAGAAAGTTATTCCAACCCTGCAGAAATTACAGACTGCGGGTGTTACACATAAGACACTTTCACCCAAACACAAGCCATGACAGTGCTTAGCATACCAGCCTTAACGGTGCACACACCAATTCTTCCGCGACAGGGGTCCACTGTAGTGCCCGGAAAAAAAGTGACGAAGGGGTTCCGGTGGTTCATGTTTGAGTTTACATTTCTCATAATCTGCTGCAAAATGGGATTAACTACTAACATGGCTGGAAAGTGTAAGAAGTGGCGTGTTTTGGGTGAAAATTGATTTCGGGCCCGAGGCTTACTTCCGGGTGTCCTTCCGCCCTGAGCGCGGTGCTTCGGTTTGACCTAGTTTTGCCTTGTATGCGTTCTGGGGGTGCTATAGCTATGCCTCGCGCGACGCGCTGTTGTGATAATCTCAGTGTTAGGATTTTCTCTATACTTTTCTTAATAATACATAAGGGTTTTCTCTTTCCGACCATATAAGTCATATCGGTGGCTAAAATCTGGGTGATGGGTCTAATTCCACGTGAAAATGGCCAATTTTTGGCATCATTTTTCATCGAAAAATTCTTTTTCCCCCTAAAATTTACTAAAATGTGAGAGGGGAAAGAAATTGAAATTCTATTGTTCTCGTAGCTAGAGGGATATCCTTCATTTGAAAACAGAGTGTTTTGGCTTAAGAGGTATTTCCTGAAAGAGACGGTCGCTAGAGTTGAGGGTATGCAGAATCGAATTGAGACCCAAAATAAACTGGGGTGTGCCCCCTTAAGCTGGTGTGTTGCGCTGAAGGGCGGTTGTATTGGCTGTACAGATAATGTTACAGATACACTGAATGGTGCCTCCATAACAACCCCCTATCAATGCTTAGATGCTAACACGGTCTCACCTCTTGGTGACCCTCCTGCCTTTCGCCCAAGCATCCCAGCTTCCAAAGAGGAAAGTCTCCTCGGCAAGCCGACCCCTCCAGACAACTCGCACGGTCCGAGACCCCACTAAGGTGGTCTGAGGACAGAGACAGGTATGGTCATGGCTTGAAATGATAATGATAATAATCATCATCATCTTAATAATAATAACTGTTCTTGGCTGCAAATTAGCAGTAGACATTTAACTCTAAACTACAATTGACAGACGAAATCAGTCTATGTCTCTGTACAGTTCAATCCATCTTTGTTTGTCTCTTGCTAAGTCTCTGAGATATTTCAGTACGTCAGACTCAAGTTTGATATTGTGATTAGATAAAGTTTACAGTCGTCAAAATACTGGGTGCATATGCACTTAAGTACAGGTAAAATCAAGGCTGTGCAGGAACATGTATTTCTGATGTCTACCTGCACCTAACCTGCACTGGTCCATGTACTGGGTTTATACATGTACATACATTGAGTTGTATGTGGGCTTTTATTGAGAAGGAGAATAACTATTAATGAGAATAGACCTTTCCAGGCAACAAAAGAATTAAATGTATTGAAAACAATGTTCAGTAAGATATAGACAATAGATGAATCCATCATTAACTATGGCTTTTAATGTCATATTTTTCAAATGATTTATAGGTGATCACAACATACATCCTATTACTCTTACTAGTACTTACCTGGGACCTGGTGTCACCGTGATCTCTCTCTGAAGTTCCCAGCATTCTCGCAAGGGGGCCTTCATTCACAGTGTTCGACATTTTCGAATATTTCTCAATTGATATCCAATTCTGGAAACTATCAGAGAGTAAATCTGTCAGTGAGATACAGTGAAAATTCACTAACGTTACAGGTAATTAATACCCTAGAAAATATCCAACCGTCACAAAAAGTGTCAGGTCTAAACGTTTGTTTGGACGAATGCCTGATGTAAACTAAAGTTGTTCTTATCCTTCAAAAACTTGTCACTGCTGAAAGAACACTCTAGTAACTGTATCTATACGTGGCAAATTAATCTCTTCAACGAAAGTTGTTCTAGAATTTAACCATTTTAACGATCAGTTTCGAACCACCGCTGAAGTAAAGCTAACAAATGTTCAGCACAGTTCTAGAACACGTTTGGTCACTCCGCGGAGTTCTTTCACCCTGTTTTATCCGTAAACTTTATCCTTTACTTAATTCGTCAACGAAACTGATCAGTAATTTTGAAACAGGGCAATTCTTGATGTGCATATGGTGATGTAAAACAGTATTGCATATACGGTACAGTCTTTCATTGAGTCTTGCTTGCTCCTGCACATAGACGAAATACTAAGTTTAAACTTGTCGACAGCAAAAGCTTGCTGAAAAGTCTTGTAGACCCTTTTTTGATAGAATTTCGAGCTTACTATGAAATTTATCCAGCGTTACTCGCTTGAAATATTGCGTAGCCTGTTTGCGATAGAGAAATATGATGGCCTTTACCGATTTCTACCTCTAACAATGCACGAGGAATAAAAAAAATGAACTCACCTGTCTCCGTAAACGGAAAGACGGTCCGTCGTTATCAAAAGTTACGAACGGAATGCACTCCGAGCGAAATGCACTAGCTAATGACGGTCACTGGCGTCGTTTTGTTTTATGACGTAAACTTAAAAAATTACGTCACAAAGTCGCTACTTCGAGCTCATTGGTCAATTTCTTTTACAATTTAGGGCGATTCCAGTTTACGAATTTGCACTGAAAAGTTTGAAATTTGTCAGGCAATCGGAGATGAAAGCATTTCGGCAAAAAACGACACATTAAAATTTAGAGATAACCTTTGCCAAAGACACTTTCAATCTACCTGTCATGTCCCGACTCCATATCTGTGTACTAAGTACCTAGGCCAATACTAAGCCTATAAAACTTGTAGACAGCAAATACTTGCTGAAAAGTCTTGTAGACCCTTTCTGATAGAATTTCGAGCTTACAATGAAATTCATCCAACTTTAAATATTACGTAGCCTATGTTCGATGGAGAAATATAATGGCCTTGACCGATTTCTACCTCTAACAATGCACGAGGAATTAAGAAATGAACTCACTTGTCTCCGTAAACGGAAAGACGGTCCGTCGTTATCAAAAGTTACGAACGGAATGCACTCCGAGCGAAATGCACTAGCTAATGACGTC